AAAAGGCTAGAAAAACAAATGAATTGTGGAAAACCAATAGCTAAACACCTAGTCGAGGTGAACCATAAGGTTGATGTTAACTCAGCCTTTAAGGTCATCTATAAAAACGGTCAAGGACGTTTACTGAAATACGCCGAGGCTATAGCTATTCATAAACTTAAGCCCCCCTTGTGTATTCAAAAACAGTTTGTTATTACTCTTAACCTACCTTGGTAATCCTTATTTGACTGGATTGCCAAACGTTTGTGTTAATTATTCTTAATTCTTATCTTGTCACTTTGTTTAATGTAATATTTCCATATATATATCGACTTGACAAGTAAATGTGTGAACAGATTGTTCGAAATGTATAGCGCTAATACATCACATTTTTCAGATAATCTCCGTCTTCTAATAATGCTATCAAAATTTATAAAAGGGACTAACTGTTTTAAACACCTAATCGAGATGAACCATACGATTGATGTTAACTCAGCCATTAAGGTCATCTATAAAATCGGTCAAGGGTACTTCTTGAAATACACCGAGGCTATAGCTATTCATAAACTGAAGCTCCCCCCCCCCTGTGTTTTCGAAAACAAAAAGACAGTTGCAGCGAAGAAAATTTTCTTTTCGACGAAGTCATCATCTAGGCTGTACATTCGTGTATTTATATCAAATGGATGGGAAAGTTCCAGAACAATTTCTGGTTAGGGGTTGAATTAATAAAAATTACAATTAGGAATTAGAATGCCATAATAAACAGGGGGATGGGTAAAACTCAAACAAAGTAGCATAATAACTAAGAAAATTGACATTGTGCAATTGGGGTTAGAAATGTAAAAATAACAAAATATACAGGATGTTTGGGTAAGAAACTAGTGTGATGAATAATTGTTTATGCAATCAGGGATTGGATTACCAAACGTTGTGTTAATCATTCTTAAATCTTTTTTCTTTTTGTCACTTTGTTAAAATTTAACATTTTCATATATATATCGACTTGACAAGTAAATGTGTGATCAGATTGTATAGCTCAAATACATCACATAGTCTCCGTCTTCTAATGACGCTATTCAAAATAAGATAAAATAATTGGATGACATGGTTGTGAATATTTAAAAGTAAAGCTTTCAAAGAGTGAGTGTTGTAGTCAGTGTTGTGAGAAGAATAAACAAATGAGATTTAAAGGGTGAGAAATAACAGTGTATTTTTCAAGCCATTTAGGCATTTCTTACAACGTCACCATCATCCAAATAACTATTCTCTCACCCCCATCTGCCTATGTGCTTATGTGTGGCCACACACACACACACACAAATATATATGTGAATCGCTATACCACGTAGAGTGTGACGTAATCGTTTGTGCAAATGTTCATGTTTGTGATAGAGCATGTATATTTTTTTTTGGCAGTTTTAAGTTGTAATTCCCCTGTATGCGTTTTTCATAGTTGTGCGGAAATTCCTGTAATAATTCAAGATTTGATTTCACAGGTTGCAGGATTTCATCATGAGATGACATCAGTTAGAGCACCATTGGAAAACCTACAGGGAGTACTGGACAGTTGTTTCATCCGTCCTAGTTTGGGACACTTCAGCAGTATGCGTTCACTGAGGTTCAAAACCAGAACCTTCTAGTTACAAGGCGAGCTAGCTCGTAGACTATTAAGCGACGCACTGGGACCCGATCCAATGGCCAGCGAGGGCATGAATTTGAACTTTTACCGATTCATGATATAGCACGACCACTAGCGAATGTCATTTGCGAATATCTGTCCTCACACCCGTGACCAGTAGGGTAAAACTGGGCACTTAAGTTTGCAATGTAGTCACCATTTCGGGTGGCTCACCACTATGGTGCGCTCTGAATTGCTATTAGATGATTGGTTGGTTGGTTGACAGGAAGCCTTAGACCTAGGTTTCGTGCTTGCTGGCACTGGTCAATATGGCGTATCTGCAATATTGCAGCAGGTGAAGTCACTTCTGCGATTCTAATATAACATATACCAATCAAACATTCGAATAAAACAAGTCGGAAAGTATTTATTTATTTGTTTCTGTGTGAGAACATGTTCTGTACAGAGACGAGAAGGACTAAAATCAACAGTCGTTCCCATCATACGCCTTTCCACCAATAATTTATCAAATGTGATTTAATATTGGCTACTCTATGGATTAAAACCATTAACTGCCTTGGAATCTGACAGTTTCTACACAATTTTTTTCACTTTACATTGTATTAATGATGTATACTTTTTATATATCATCGGGTTTTTTTTTCCTGAATGACTTATAACTTTTTGTGATAGGCAACCATGCAGTTCTGGGTCTGATCCTTCATAGAATCGTCCCATCTCGGAAAGTTCAGTACTCGTCATTTTTCAGCGTTATTTTCCAGGCTTCGTAAATTAAAATCAACTAGACCTACAGGAAACTTAGATTTTCAACAACACAATAAAAAGACGTAGTATATCTGAAACGTGTAATGTATTGTTTGTTCAAGCGCATTCACCGTATATGTACTGCTGATACAATTGAAGAAGAAAAACAACCCCTCACTGAAATATTGTTAGATAACAATTACCCACTGAGATTTGGTAGATGTTACGGAAGTGTCAACCATAGAGCTTCACTAATCGAGTCAGCTCCCAAAAAGGATGTTTACATATCCTTACCGTTCAGAGGTGATCAACAAAGTCTAGTCACTAGGCAAAGACTCAAGGCCGCAATTAATAGCACCTATTATGCAGCTAAACTTATTTTCATAGAGAAAACGAGAACTATGCTGTCCTGTAAACCCTCACATTATCCGAACGATAGTGTCACATCCCGCTGTGTTTATCAATTTACATGTATGTGTGGAGACACGCACATAGGGAGGATCCATCAGTCTTTGCAGGATGGGGCTACATAACACATTCCAAAGTGGCTACAACAACAAATGAAATCTCCAGACACAAGTGAACCCGGAAATATATGTCCAACATCATCTATAGCGAAGCATATTATGGAGATGGGTCATAAGGTTGATTTCAACAGTGCCTTTAAGCCGATATATAAAACGAGGTTGGGCCACATACTTAAATTCATTGAAGCCTTAGACATAGAAAGACTTAAACCTGTCTTATGTGTCCAAAAGTTATTTGTTATCATCATAAACCTTTGGGATCTTTGGGAGCGAACCAACCGATTGTGAAACAAATAAGCAGGAAGAAGTGGAGATGGATTGGCCATACTCTGAGGAAACAATGCATCAAGTGACATCACTAGACAAGCAATTGCTCGAGTGGAACCCGAAAGGGAAGCGGCGAGTTGGTCGTCAGTGTGAGGGTGACTTGGAGGAGGTCATATGAAGAGGAGATGAAAGCGTGTGGGCAGACTTAGAGCCAGGTGAAGACTCGAGCAGTGAACCGAACGCAATGGAGACGCACGGCTGAAGCCCTATGTTCCTGTAGGAATTAAAGGTTACAATAATAATAATAAACCTGCCTTGGTAATCCAATTTAGAACCAAGGACCAATTTACTTCATAATATTTTCAACCCCTTCTTTGCCTTGTTTTTCTCCTTTTATTTTTTTTACCCACAACTTTTGCGTCTCCCTACCCATTATTTGTCACCTTGACCTGTATACAATCTGACCTGTATTGTAATTATTCATGCCTTCTTGCATCCTATAAAAACTGTGTATGACAAGTACATGTGTGATCAGAATGTCCGAAGTGTGTTGCGCCAATACATTACACGTTTCAGATAAACTACGTCTTCTTATTGTGTTGTCGAAATTCATAAAAGGAACTAATTGCTTTAAACTTAGATTTGAATCATTCAAATAATCTTTGTCAAATATCCAGACAGCTGAGATCCTGAACCTATAGCTGGTTTCAGAAGATTAAGCCTAATACGTAGAAGACTGTTCGCGGTAACCGACGAGGAACAACAGAAAACGGTTGAGCAACACAATAATTTATTCTTCATGCGATAACGTAACAGATTTACGGTGGTTAATTAATGCTAAAGTTTGTAAATAAACATTAATATAGCATACAACAATACTTCTGATCGTATTTTTCCAATCTTCTGCCAATCACTACATGATTAAGGAGTGACAACCTTCTTGTCACCCACCAAATGGAGACCAATTCGAATAAACAAACTATTTAATGTTCACCAACATTGACAATCTTTGTTTATCGATTCCCCGAACACATATCACATTACATGCACTCTTTAACTTTATAGCGTGGTGATGACGTTATCGTAAAGTCTATGCTTTGTTCGTCGTTTCTGTCAGATAAATCAAAAAAGTTAATTTAATATTTTACCAACGACAGATTTCAATTAGACACTTTGAGAACGGTTGCTATGGTGTTGTCTGGGAAATCACTGTAGTACGCAAACACAATCACATATGAAATTTAACTCCTAACAGCCAAGTCCTTATGTGGTGAGAGCTGTCTGCAAGCCAAAATTGTGGACAACAATTCACGTCAATGTTTACGTCCAGAATCGGGGTCATTAGAAAAAAACACAATAACAAACCCTAACCTTGAGAAACTCAACAACGAATCACAGCCGGCCCAACGTGTGCAAATACGATTCGCAGATATATGGCTCAACTTTCTGGGAAACGGTCACAAGCAGTACAGAATAACCTTCAGCAAGAAAACAACCAATCAGAAGATGTTGCTCCTCTGCTGACAATAACGCTGATAATAATGTACATAAAAATCTATAAATATCTCTTGATTTTCTCAACAAAAGAGCATACACTCATATGGGTCAAGTAATATTTTCAAAAAGCGAGGTGAACTCCAGTGGTCCCTACCGAGTATTCTCAGTTCAGCAGTGAAGATGACATTTATCTAGTGCTATATGCATTCTTCTTACCTACAATGCTTACCGTATAAGAACACTAATAAGTTTATTGCTGTTTATTGGTGAATAATAATGTTTTTTTAAATACATATCCAGTAATTCTCCATCTTTAAACCATTTCCTATTCTCTTTCTTTTTTTAAGGTGGTGTGGAAATGATTCGTTTAGGTGAAAATATTATTGAATATTCAAAAGACTTTCGTTTGTATATTACAACTAAACTGAGAAACCCGCATTATTTGCCGGAGATTGCAGTGAAAGTTTCACTTTTGAATTTTATGATTACACTAGAAGGTTTAGAAGATCAGTTATTAGGTATTGTTGTGGCTAAAGAGAAGTAAGTTATATTTTATGAAAAATACGAATAAGCTTTCACCTCTCTACCTAAAAGTGTTAAACTGTCCTATAGATTTCACAGCTAAATTAAACCTTTGGCTATCGTTTGGTTTTTTTGTTGTTGGATATCTCCTAGACAGTTTGTGAATGTGGATCCAAAGATGGTTAAATCGGCTAGTATTCACATTTATCCGGGAATGAAGATTTTATTTTTAGTAAAACTTACAAAGAAGGGTAGCTTAGGGATTTGCAATAACTGGCGTGGAATCATGCTCCTATCCACAATAAGCAACATATTAAGTCATGTCACCCTGGAGAGAATAAACGATGTTCTGGATGCTGAAATCTTCTCACCGGAACAAGATGGTTTCGAGAAAGTCAGATCATATAGTGATCGAATTGCACTTCTGTGCAACGTCAGCGGATAGAGCATGCAATGACAGTCGAATCTCCACCTCAACTTCATCCAGTTTCAAAAGACGTTCAATAGCATCGACCACGAAGTAATTGAGAAACTGCTTCAACACTATAGGGTGCTTCAGGCCTTTATGAACCTCATTTAACAGCTATGTGGTAATGCTACATGTCAGGTGATTCACAACGGAAAACTCAGCTAGGCGTTTGAAGTGAATACATGAGTGGGAAAAGGCTGGCTATTGTCGCCGATAATGTTCCTAATTGCGGTGGACTGGATTATGTGGGATATCATGTGTGGGGAGGGAGAAGACATGTGTACCTTGGACTGATGGTTACACTCTAGAATATCTGGATTTCTCAGCGCTACACAAAGTCGAAGAATCACAGGCTAAAACCAACAATTTGGCAGGGATGGCAGGCAGCTAAGACATGACTTCAAGTGAACCAACAACAGCAACCACCCATCACTATCGACACAATAAATTTGATAAAGGTTACTACTTTTTTGTACGGATTGGGATATCAAAGCCATCCTAGGTCAGTAAAGCGAGACACACATTCCTACTCTAAAATCAGTGTAGAAACCTGCCGCGATCAGCATAAAGAACACAATTTGGATTTTCAACACTGATGTTTAGTGACTTCTTCTAATTGGTTGAGATACTTGACATGTCATAAAAAGCATTTCCAACAGGCTTCAAACTTTTATTAATGCCTGCCTTTGTTTTCTCGATAATGAAGATTAGATTGCCAGAAAGGATAAGAAACAGGGAACTCTGGGAACCGACCAATCAAGAACCTACTGCCTAACTAATGTGCTGAAGGAGTCGAAAATAGATATCGTACGCCAAGTCATCGCTAGGGTGGAACCAATGTGGAAATCGTCGACTTAGGCGTGTGAGGGTGATACGGAAGGGATCGTGCCAGAAGGAGATGAGAGATTATGGGAAATAGTGAAACCAGCTAAAGAGGACTTCAGAGAATGGAACAAACTGGAGTTGTGTTATTGAAGCTCTATGCTCCACTGCGAACTTAAAGGAGTAATCATAATAAAAGCAGAGATAAAGATGTTAATGCCATCTTTGAAGTTGTCACGCAAGTTATCCCCTCAACTTAATGGAATATTCTAATTACTTCAATGAAAATGTTATGTTTTCACAAAGCCTAGTAACCTATAAGGCATTCATTTCCAACTCTATCACCCCACAAATCTTACTACCAGTCACATCTGTTTTGTTTTTGTGTGATAATACAATCTTTAATTGTTTGAATGAAATGACATCTGACAAATGAACTTTAATTGTCATCATACATGTTTTACAACCATGATCTGACTTGTCAGTTTCCCTTTCCCACATTTTATTAATCTATTACGCCTAGGCACCATAATTGGCTTGCATTGTAAGTGTTTTGTAATTGGACTAGGCCTAGCAGATTTGCCACATGAATACTGATTTTATTTTGTCACCCCTGAATAGCTGGCCATTGTTATAACACAGCTGTTTTGTTCTGTGAAGAAAGATTTCTTTTCGATGACTTTATTTTCAAGCTTCACAGTCATATTTATGTTAAGGAAGAGCGCAATAATTGGTTTTATTGTAGTCTGATGGGAAATGATACTTATTGATCTTATTGATTGAAGAAAATCTCTAAATCACTCGTAAATTGTTGAATTCAACTCAGGGTGTGTATAGAAACTAGTCTTGAAATCAGGACGTCGCTAAAATTAGCTGGTTTTTTTCACCTATTCAAAGTTTAATCAACTTGAAAAAGTGAGAGTTATACATCTGTTCGTCTTATTGTGTAAGTAGGTAAAAAGCGCGAGTGTGTTCCACATTGTCGGATAATTTTAGCAGCAAACAACGTCACAAGAGTTATATAGCAATCCTTTTTTATCTATTTCAGACCAGAATTAGAAGAAGCACGTCAAGAATTGATTATAACAACCGCAAACAATAGACGTATGCTTAAAGAGACTGAAGATAGAATATTAGCTACACTATCAGAATCTGAAGGAAATATTTTAGAGAATGAAGCTGCTATTGAAATACTGGACTCATCGAAGTTAATTTCAGATGACATTTTAAGAAAACAGAAAGTAAGTCATAAAATTGTCTTGTTTTCTTGTTTTAGGGGTCTATTTTAATTAAATTTAGTTTTAAAACTCATAAGAAAAGGATTTTTAAACCTCTTAAATTCACTAAGGTTATGATGGAGAAGATTTGTAACTCAGGTGGATGATATTGAATTAGTTGTGTTCTCTGAGCTGATTGATTTAGTTGCGGAGCTTTTATCATCCTTCTAGAGGTTTTAGTGTAAAATGGACTTATTTAAATTCTCCATGAATGATGTAATTGTTTCTCCTGGCAACCATTGTCTTGACTGTGTTAGTAATATTTCTATTGACTTGGAATTCGAACTTTAGATATAATTGAGAAGATTTGTAGCTCATGTGGATGATTTTGATGTAGTTTGGTTCTCTGAGCTGGAGTTCATTGCAACATCTTCAACGCATGCTTCAATTTGTTGAAGTGAGCTTCAAGATTTTTCCACGAGTTTATTAGTCATCTCTCTTGGTGGGTGACCTTGAACATTGTGGTTGGTTGTTTTCATGTGTTTTCACACCCGTTAGGCTACTTGTATTGGATTGTTTCCTTGACTTGAACATTAACCCTTTGCGTGTGAGATTTTCTTCTTATCGATTGGTAGATTTTGTGCCGATGTGTCTATTGATTGACGATTCACTGGAATACGAAGCATCTAGAAATTCTCTGGCATTCTTGGTGTTTTTTTCTGTCGAATATTTGAACGGTTGTCGCAGTCGAATTGATGTCCGTGGTTGTTTGTATGCAGTGAGGCGGTGGGTGTCATGTCTTTTGGCAGCTAGTTTATGTTCATTGATGCGAAGACGAAGGGGACGTCCACTTTGGCCAATGTAGTGTTTTTCGAAGTTGTTGCAATTTATTTTGTGGATGATCTTGGTTTTATCTTCTTTCGTTATTAAGTCTTTTGGTTAACCTACAGCCAGCTGAGTGAAGTGATTTTGTTGGTTTCTGTGTGATATCAATTGCCAAAGGTTTGAAGAGTCTTGCAGTGATATCTGAGATGCCTTTTATATATGGTAGAGCGATTTTTGTGTGCTTTCCTCGGGCCCTTTGATTTGGTAGGTTGGCTTGGGGGGGTATATGTCTTTTGATGAAATTTCGTGGATATCCATTCTTACGGAAGACGCACGCTACGTATACCAAACTGCTTGCTTCAGGTGGTCAAATCTATGAGGTCTTTGACTTTTAGCATAATGGAGGGTGTCAAGGAACTTAACCCTAAGTTCCTATGAAGACACTCAGAATCGACAACTATTAAGTATGATTATTGACTTTAACTCCAAAACACAAGGACCAATAAGAAATTGTATTCTTCGGCAGTTAAAATCAACACTCTGTATAAAGTTTTTACAGTAATATAATGTACTTTTATTTGTATTCTTTCGTCTTCTTCCAACTTGTACACGATTGAACCATTTGCGTCTTCGAGTTGCCCGCCAATGACGAGCAAGGCCAATGAACCAACATTCATTGTTCAAGTTCATTTACAGAGGGAGTTGCGGACTACTTGTATGGAGTCATAGAGATATCAAGAATCACCTTGCGCAGATTCTCGGTGAAATATTTAAAGTATTTCCAAGTGACTTTCATTTATCCTGTTTTGTCATTTTCCAAGTTTTGGAAAGCTTCATCGATCTTTATCGAAACATTTTCCCGCCTCGTTCATGTTTGTCTACTGATGTATCACTGTATTTGCGAAACTTTATGAATCTTCGTAACATAGACTGTGCAAAGTTCTTTGATTATTCGTCATTTAGTTCCTTTCACAGCACATTCAGAGACCTCTGAGATTGCGTTATGTGAGGCAGTTAAACCTTTTAAAGCATAGGTTCATTCGAAACTTTATATATTTATGTATATAATATGCATCTTTGTTTGATGTTCTATCATAGGTTTTTCTATTCCTTTAATTAAAATAAAGGTTGCTGAAGAAACACAAATAAAAATTGACGCTGCAAGAATGGACTACTCCCCGATCGCTAAACACTCAGCTATACTCTTCTTCTCACTGACAGATTTGCCTAACATTGACCCAATGTATCAATATTCCCTGGCATGGTTTGTTAATCTCTATGTGAATTCTATTCACGACAGGTAAGTAATAAACAGTGAATTAAATCTTTGTAAAACTTTAGGTGACTGAAACACGAAAGGTCGCTTTCATCTGTTGGTTGGAGATAAAGCGGCTGTGCGTTATGTCATTATTATCTATAATTCAATCTGTTACTTCCGTATCTTTGCACAGCTACAAGTAACTGGCTTCATCAACATTTGTTCTATTAAAAGAGTGACTACTTTGAATTACATCTAGGAATACATTGAACGCTTGTGCAGTGAAATAGTCATTAGATTGAGATAAATAGATTTCCAATATTCTGTAGATTTCAAAGTTACTTCTTATAGATGTTTATTTAATGTAGTAGTCAGAAGGTTTCTGTAGGTTTCTATGAGTAACTGGTAATTCGTCCGAAGGCCTGAGAAGCTCTCATTAAAGTACTCTATGTCGTTACTCACTGTAAATCTACGCATATTTTCATTTCCATAGTGGTTGATTTAGTCTTGTAGTCTTTCTATATCTATCTAACAAACTGTTTATTATTCAGGTATCTATGGTATTCTGATATTTGGGAAACAGCTGTCTTGCTTCGTACATTTATTCCCCTTTGTAAATCTGAATAAAGCGAAAACAGTTTGTGCTGTTTTAGAAGGCAACTTCATGTCCAATTCTGAGAGAACAAAGTTGAAACTAAAGTAATTCCATATTCGTTTGTTTATTAGATATATCACACAGTGAGTGAAACAATATTATTATTTACTGGATGACATTTCGAACAAAATTTATTATCGTTCATAATCATATCAATTATAATCACATGACTTCGAAACTTGAGTTTCATAGTTTTCTTTCTTCTCTCCTATTTGTCGTCTTTGGGATAGTAGAATTTTCCAGATGTCTGGGAGGACAGGTGTTGAATCATTCCTGTTACATGTATTTGCAGTTGATTCGATAAACAAAGCTTCTGTTATCAATCTCTCCCTCCACCCTGTGACATTAAATTTTAAAACTGTCATCCTATTGTTTGGTTGAGGACATAATGCTCGGAGTGCAGCTATGCCTGACTTCCATAGTATTTAAATTCCAAAGGAAAATATACAAACAAACTGAGGGAGTTGCCATACGGTCATCGATATCCCCAACTGTGGCAGATATATTCATGGATAGGTGGGAAAACTTAGCGACTGATATGTTAAGCCCCACTCTAAAAGTATAGTGGAGGTATGTAGATGACACATTTACTGTACTTAGAAAACAGGATATAAGTAAACTTTTGGAACACATCAACTCGAAGCAGGAGGCGATTCAGTTCACTTAAGAATTGGAAAGTCAGGAAGGCGAACTTCCAATGTTAGATTTTAGTGTAAAAAGTAAAGAAGATGGGGAGTTAAACACTAGTGTTTACAGGAAACCCACACATTCAAACAGATATTTGGATTTCCGATCATCAACTGCAAACACGTGTAATTGGAATGATTCAACACCTGTCCACCCAGATATCTGGAAAATTCTACTACCACACCTACGACGACAAATAGAAGAAGACAAAGAAAACTATAAAACTCAAGTTTCAAAGTCGTGTGATTTCGATTGATGACTGTGAACAATAAATTTTGTTCAAAACGTCATCCAGTAAATAATAATACTGTTTCACTCACTGTGTGATACATCTAATAAACAAACTAATATGGAATTACTTACTACCACAGCGTCGATATCTCGATGACGCATTTATAGTTTGAAATAAAGAGATTTATACTTCCTACCTACTCGGATTATTCGACCACACATTTAAAAATATTGAATTCACACTACTGGACATGAAAATGATGAAACGTTTCATTTTTGTAACATTGGCATGCAACGCCTGGAAGATGGTAGTCTTTGGAGATCAGTTTACCGAAAGCCTACATAGAATGGACAATACCTAGATTTTAATAGTTTTTGTCTAAAGGAGGAGCTGTGAAGAAGCACTGGTCAAAACTCTATCCCATAGAGGCAGGAGAATATGCTTTACAGATAAATTAGAGGAAGAATTTATGATTCTCGAAAAGATGTTGAAAAACAACGGCTATCCTCAGAGATTCACTAACAAATATGGAAGATGTGAAGACTGAAACATCAAAGAAACCACAATGGGAAAAATGTCTGTCTTCATTCAACTCGATTTTAAAGGTGAAAATATGACAGCAGTTGTCAACAGAGGAATGAGGACGTCAATAGCCAGAGACTATCCTGCAGCTAAGTTGGTTCCCATCTGTCGGACAATATGCTCTTTGATGCAGTCAAAAGTCAACAGATGCCCACCTCACGTTAAATTGAAATGTGTATAAAAATTTACATTTATCTATGGTAACGGTTACAGAAAGGGCAGAGAAAGAAAGGCACACTTCAGATTTTCTGAACATGGAACAAAAAGTCTACGTACCAAGGGTACAAGTGTTTATAAAAGTACCATTGCGAGACATTTCAGTAACACTGATCGCGAAGTAGGCATCACCAAATTCTCTAAAATTATCTGTAGACAAAGTGATTGAATTCCTCTCAAGTTTTCCGAGGAAATCGCAATCAGACGCCTGAAATGCGATTAATGTGTTCAGAAAGAAGCAGTTATCAGTACTCCTTTGTCATGGTGACTGAAACTCTTTATTCTCTCTTTCATTTGATTACGTAATCATTGACTTTAACCTCTTGTCACTTTTGTGTGACGTAACTTTGCTAGTCTCTAGTTTCCATGATTTCAGTTGAACTAATTATTATCATAATATTATTATTCCCTTGAGTTCCGAGTGGAATATAGGACTTCCACAGCAAATCCCTACTTTGTTCTGTTTTCTACCATCCCCTTCCACTGGGCCCACGATAAACCATAATCTCTCATGTCCTCTTCGCACGATCTTCTCCATGTCACCCTCGCACTGATGACCCATTCTTTGCTTCCTATTTGGATTCCACTTGAGGGATGGCCTGCATTGCGCGCGATGTCATTCGACGGTTTCCTCAACGTATGCCCATCTCCATTTTCTCCTACATATTTGTTGAGCGGTCGGCTCTTCGTTGGTTTGTTCCCATCCCGAATTTCTTGTTGCTAATTATCTTTGGCTGGCCGGCTATTTGATCTCCAGTGCTGAGCTGGTGAAGGCAGCTATTGATAAAAGTCTGCAGTGACCTCTTGGGAATCCTTTTTGTGACACGCTGTACAAGTTTCTCACCCGTAGAGAAGAACTGATTGACTTCACACTGCTGAAGCGCAGTGCAGTGCAGAATATTCCCAAACTAGTTTCAGAGTGATGAAGGCTTGTCTTGCCTTTCGAATTCTGGCTGGCTGGTTTTGACATATTCATCCGATCCGACAGTCTGTAGTTGAAACAATGCTTCCTGGCTGGATAAGTGAACGAATTAACCTCTGTTAAATCTCTCCCGTTGATGGTGGTTGGTGCTGACTGTCGTTGCGGTTCGTCGGTTATCTTCAACACCTACGTCTTCTCTATGTTCACCTGGAGTCCTGTCTTTGCTGCCAGACTCTTCAGCCAGTTTGTTGGTTTTCGCCTGCCTGAATGTCTTTGAGTTTGTATGATACTAGATATATATCATTTGCCTTCTGCTACTAACTGACATCATATGAAATTTGCGCGTATGTTAAAATTGTTCTGTACACAAGTCACTTGATAATTTCTTCAGGCTGCCCGCAGCTGATGAGAAGCCAACGAAATAAATTACGGCGCCATCTTATTATGCACAAACTGTGGCTTTTTCTCCTTTCAAACATCCTGTTTCCATTTATCAAATTTAAGTCTTTTGCATAACCATATATTTGAAAAAAGTATTGTTCAATTTTGCATTTCTAAAACTCATTAATGAGCATAGTGAATGATTCTTTTTCAAAATTGATGTTTATCCTCATAGAATATAATTGTGACCATTAAAATGTTGCCATTAATGCAGTACATTTGGTCATTTATTGAATTAAGGTATCCAGTGCTTTGCATACTAATCTCTTAATTGGAAACGGTGTTAATTTTCAGTAACAGTTATTGATCAAAATTCGGTTTGTCGAATATACTGACTCCTCAAATGGTTCTGCTTACCATGGTTCACTTTTATTTGGATATTAAATACTTGATAGAATCAATCGTCTGAATGTTCTGCATCTACATTCTGTGCATGTTAACACTTATCATCAAGATGTACCTGCAAACCCCTATAATTTTGTGGTACAGCGTTTCACCACTTTGACATTGAATGACTCAAGACTGAACTGCTATTAGGACACTGGTTTCTTCAAGGCTTCAGGCAGACCTAGGTTCAGGCCATTCAAGCATCTGATTTTAAACTGCCTTTGGCTTCACTGTTTCAATTTATCTTCATAATTTCTAAAACTATTTAACCTTTCAATTACAAAACGCCTTGGGAGCGCCTTTTGACTGTGTTGATTGGGATTTGTAAATGATTACAAATTTGTAATGTTTATCAACATTTACTGAGTATAGCTGGTGGTAGCAGTGAAATCCAGGATGCGACACATTTCGTCTCGTTTGAGACTCGTCAGACTGGCTGGATGTACCTGTATTTCCCAGTGAGTGAGTGAGTGTCGATGTTCCCGCCGAGGCTTGAACCCAGTGCTCATAGTTTCAAACGCCAAAGCGTTATCCACTAGAGCATTTGGATCACGACAGTCACTATCTCTTGTGCAACGGGTCATATTAATTATTTTATTTAATTTTATATTTTCCCGTCGATTGATTGAACCGAAGTGCTCGGTCTCAGGTTGACATGTCGGCTTCTTGTGCAGATGCTTTGACGATGTCTGGGCATGTAATTAGAAGTTAATTGGTGGATGCGCATTTAATCCTATTTCGGACTCGTCAACTAGCTGAATGTACCTGCATCCCCCCTCAGTGAGTGATGGTTTTCTAATTAACGTCCAATCAATCGACGGGAAAATCAAAAAAGAAAACTTGACTTAAATTTACTGAGTATGTAGATCACAAAGTGTTTACTTTACTTTATCAACGGTTTCAGTTTCGAATAGTTTACTTTAAGTGTAATTATTGATATATACACTTGTGTGTGATATACGGTAAATTATTTTGTCCGAGAGTGTTGATCACTATTCATGTTTATATTGACGGTTCAGTTCAGTTCAGTGCAATTAGCTATCAGCTATCTTATCAGAGGTGATTAAAAGCAAAAATCTTTTTTTGTTTATATATTCACTGTTGATTAGCGTCCTGATTCCCCCCAGCTTCGTTCATCACCTCAATTAGTACATATATATATATATATCACGTGATGAAACTAATCATGTTTACAATTTGTTTGTTATGTTTTGTTTATTTTTTTTACAACGTTCTGTGTTACAGTTATTATTATTATTATTATCGTGATTGTTTACTCCATTTATATTTACCCTAATTATTTATCTAAAAACAAAACGAATCGACAACTACAACAACAACAAAAAAATAATTAAAATTGAACTTCTTTTTATCTTGCCTTTTCATCCATCTCTCGGATGTAACACGAACAACACGAACCCCAACAACAACAACAATCGAAAATTATATACAGCAATAAATCGAAAATTTTGGAAAGACGTTTACGTTATCTAAAAGATCATTTTGAATATAATCTCTACACAAATGTTTGTCGTTCATTGTTTGAAAGGCATAAAGTTTTATTTTCATTCAGTATGACTATAAATATTGTGAAGTAAGTTGTTTAAATATATCGGTAAAGATATATTGTATTTTGTGTGTGTAGAGCGCTATTCATGCTACCAGCTATATGACTTAACATTCGATTCCTGGAGTGATAATGATCTCGGGCGAATGTGTTAAGAAGATCATGTTAACTCCGGGGGATCTGTTAAAAAACCACACACACTTTACACCACTGTCGTAACCATCTATCTGTAGATAAAAAAAAGGGATGTGATTGGTTGATGACCTTGTTTAATCAGCTTTCTGTTCTTTTTGCTTATCTTTTTCTTTGTTTTCTTCTTTATCTGTAACCATAGTAACCGATCAAAAATTATGGAAAAGCGTATTCGTTATCTCATTGATCACTTTACATATAGCTTATATGTAAATGTGTGTAGGTCGTTGTTTGAAAAGCACAAATTATTATTCTCATTACTGTTATGTAGTAAATTATTATTGTAAGCTATCAGAGAAGTTGAGTTGAGTTAGGGCTGTTTGTTCACAGTTGGGGTTATTCGATGTTGATAAGATTGTTTTTGATAGTGTTCATTGTTAGTTAATTTTAATGTTTGTTTGTTTGGTTTTTTCATGAAGGTTGAATACATAATCTACACGCGAGTTGATCTCACGATGTTTCTCTCCATATTTTACCAGTCTACAGTGTTTTATTTAAACAGTCTCTTGTCCTTCACAGTCTGCTTGTCCGGTTCTGTTCCGTTTCAACTTTAATGCCTTTGAACTTCGCATATGCCTTCAGAAAGTACTGATTGGAATATTCAGCAATTCAATAATTTGAAGAGATGGATATTTTGATTGGACACTAGTCAGTGACTAGTGTGATGTGTCTAGTCCTTTCTTTGATGCAGACTAGATTCTATCAGTCAGGTTTGCAATGTGGCCATCATGTAACTAGGTAGCTCGCCATCACGGTGCACATTGATTTGATGATATTAGATCTTTGGAGGCAATCGACAGGAAACCTTAGCTGACCTAGGTCCCGTACTAGTTGGCAATCAGCAGTCAGCAAGGTATATTAGAAGGGACATAAGTTCTTTCAGGGTTGCAGATACGCCTTGCTGATGAGTGCAAAATATCACGAAACCTATGTCCAAGGCTTTCTGTAGCTGACTGCCTCCAACAATCTAATACCAACAGTTCACAGTGCAGCGTAATCGCGAGCCACATTGCAAACTTGACAGAGAAAATTCAGTTTGCACTAAAGAAAGGACTAGACACATCACACTAGTTACTAGTGTTCTATCAAAGTATCGAGTGCAGTCCTACATGAGGTCAGTCGCGAACCCTAATAGCTCAGTGGTAACGTCTCTGATTGCAGCGCCCACTGGGTGATACGGGTTCGAATCTCCTCAGAAGGGACATGAATTCCTTCAAGGTTGCAGATACGTTTTGCTGACTGGTGAGTGCCAACTAGCATGAAACCTAAGTCCAAGTCTTTCTGCCGATTGCCTCCAGCCATGTAATATCACCAAATAAATATTTCTCTAACTTCAACAACAGATACCTTTATTGACAAATAAACTACAGTAAATACCGTTAGTCCGTCCTAAATATGTTCACTGTCTGAAACGGTAAATCAAATTTAACTTTGTGGAGTCTTCTTTCTGGACATTTCACGACTTGAAGGCAAAGAGACAAGAAACAGTGACAAGTGTTCGCACATAGATTTTAGAGTATCATTTTAAGAAATCATTACGCGATTGTCTTCTGCATACATCCTTTTATACGGACTGATTCTAATACTAGTAACAATATACGTTCTGAGTGGAACATATGACTTCAAGCCTAGGCTGTGGATATTGAGTAGCCGGTGGATGGGGTTGCTAGCCGCACACCCAACCTTCCATCCTTACCAACCTTACTATTGGCTAGGCGAATTTCACGAGTGTGTTGGCCTGGGGTCGAACCTGGAAACCTATGGGGCATAGTTCGCGAACCTTTTACAGCTGAACCACGGGCCACCTGACTTAACAACCTAGAACTTTGCATAAATTCCATCAGGTCAAGTTTTATAGCTTCAGATTGTTTGGCGTTATGATTGTACACTAAATTGCGTCATGTGTCCAGTCCTTTGTTTACTGCAGACTGAATTCTATCAGCTAAGTGGCTCACCATCACGGTACACACAGGATTTTAGTTATTGGATTGTTGGAGGCAATTGGCCACAGGAAGCCTTAGCTGACCTAGGTCTCGTGCTTGTTGGCACTCGTCAGTTGGGTGCTTTACGTGTTGATTTTTCCGTCACTTCCATGTTACGGACTGCCTAGTTTGGAAGTTTACAAATTTTGTTAATTTTGTTGTTATTTGTTTAGTATTTAAATCCGTATTGTACAATAGGTGCTAATAATTCCAAATAAGTGGGTATGTGTAGTTGGTTCACTGGCTCAGGCAAGTGAATTTCCACCAGCGGACCTCAAGTTAAAATCTCATAATGTTTCCTTTCAGGGTATCACAGTAAGCTGTCACATACTAAGTATGTCCAACAACACAGCACACGAAAATTAGTGTTGTCAGCTAATCGAGTCGACCATCCTCTACGTTCCCGGTGGAAAATAGGGCTTCAAGCCTATGGTAGTGGTGTTTGTTTTTATGGGGTGGGGTCTGTAGCCTCATGCCCTCCAACCTTCCCTTTTTACCAGTCTTATTACTGACTTGACGAGGTAAAGGAGCGCCTTGTCGGCTGGGAATCGAACCCCGGACCACATGTGTAGTCGGCGAGCATTCTACCGCTGTGCCATCGACGCATACATTCCCCTAACTAATAATAACAAAACGAAATGGAAGACAGAAAAGTTACCTAAGGACGCTTTAAGCGGTTATGAATCCAAGATACTTTAAAGAAATCTTGACATCTATGCACCACAACTTTACCCAACATAGTGAGGAGTTATTTCAATTTTTAGTTCATGAGCGAATGTTACATGTTTGTGAGATTTTAAAATTCCCTTAAAAATATGATGAATGAGATTTAGTATTTTGATTTGCTGCATAAATTCTAATGATGTTGATTGTGATATCACAAAAATAAACGTAGACTAACACAGTGATCAGCAGCAGTTGATATTGTTTTACAGAGAAGTAAAAATGTATGCGTGAAATACAACTCAATATTTAAAGATAAACATTCCTTAAATACTTCTAAGCTTGATTGCAAGTATTTTCGTAGTCGTTTTGAACTCAGTGTTAATTAGATTGACGCTTAGCAGTTTATAATAGAGAATATTCTGGCTTGTTGTATCGTTCAATATCAAAGGAATACTTTTAAAGACTGTTAGTTATAAAATCAATTTTCACATGTTCACGTCAACTGTTCAAGTTAATCTAATCCACTGTATCTAGTATGAAAATCTTCGAAGTAGACTCCTGTTTCTGTGACTGAGATCACGTTACACTCTCTTACGATAAGAACATAGAGCTTGGCCAAGAATAGTAGGGTTATACATTTCTGTTGATACTCTATCTATGTTTGATAAGTTGAGTAGTATGGAAAATAAGATAAGATGTTAATATCTTTGAATTCATGAGTGCTAAAAAAACTTTATTTTACAGATTGCTCATTTTTTAAGCGTATAATTTATTTCACGGTTTGATTATTTGAACTCAGGCTTCAAAGGCATTTTATTCTGTAACCCCACAACTAGATTTCAGGGGGTGAACTAACCAATATTCTGAGGTAAAGATGCTAGCCCAGAGCCCAACCTCTCCTCTTTTGGTGGGGTTAACCAGTAAGCTATTAAGCTACCATTTTCATTCCCTAAATGGATAGATCGTAATTTTTCTTTCTTATTCCTATAAGTTCTCAGTGGAATTCAGGGCTTCGAGCAAGAGGCTCGACGTTTCGGTAGCAGTGAAGTTTAATTTTTCCCGGGATGGGTGTTTGCTAGCCTCATGCCCCCAACCTTCCTTCTTTACCAGTCTCATTACTGGCTTAGCGAGGTAAAGGAGCGCCTTGTCGGCCGTGGAGATCGAACCGCTGACCACAAGCATTCTACTGCTGTGTGACCAACGCACATAGATCTTAATAAAGTATACATAATGTAAAAGGATAAAGAGATAAAAACAGGATTAAAGCGTCACTAACAAGACGGGGTATGACAAGCGGAAGAACAGTTACATGAAGCCTTGTGAAAAAACACAACTTAATCTATACTTCAAATTATATCACCGAGATTTTAAGCATTATTTGCTGAATACTAGGAATACTCATTCTCTAAAAGAGCTACAGCAGTACTCATACGTTTACTAGATCCGTATGATATCATGATATACACGCACTCAACATGGCTTCACTTTTCAAGGAAAATATTCACCCCGTTTGCATGCAGGATTTTTCATTCAATGACTCCATCACACGTGAGACAGGCTTCAAAGATATTAAAAACACTTGTTATCATAGAGAAGACTTTGTGATGTAGATTATAAACACTTAAGAGGTTGAATAAAACGGATCTTTGCTTGTGTCAATATTTAGTCGAATGATTTTAGATCATGGTTAAACCCCTTACTGTTAGTAGCAGTGAACTCATTTTTTCCCCTTCACATTCCCTAGTGGAACATTGGGCTTCAAGCTAGTGGCTTGAAGTTTCTGTAGCAGTGTTTATTTTACAGGATGGGGTTGCTAGCCTCATGCCCAACCTTTCCTCTTTACCAGCATTATTTCTGGCTTAGCGAGGTAAAAGAGTGCGTAGGACAGGAATCGAACCTTGGACCATGTGCATGGTCGGCGAGCATCTTAACCGCTATGCTACCGACGCACAGTGAAATCATAGTCTTGAATAAATCGTCTATTTTCTGCCGATCTGACTTAATTGTCAAATAAATTGTCTTTCTTTACAACAAAAAAACAAACAACACCAACAAACCAATTTAGATCTCGTGGAGAACTAGAAATGGATGAATTTATGTTCTTCTTAACTGGTGGTGTTGGCTTAGAGAATAAACTGGCTAATCCAGCCGCTGGTTGGTTATCCGATAAATCTTGGGATGAAATATGCCGTATGTCATCGTTGAAAACATTTGCAGAATTTCGTGAACATTTTACAACACACTTGGCTGAATGGAAACAGTATTACGATAGTAAAGAACCACAAGAGGCTCAACTTCCTGAACCATGGGATAAATTAGATGTATTTAAAACTTTGATTATTCTACGCTGTATACGTCCAGATAAGGTTAGTTTTAGTTTTAGTTGATTCTGTTGTTGTTTTTTTTAATTGTTTGTTATTTTTAGATGCTTATTTGAGAAATTATTTATATGAGTTGTTTGTAAGAAATAAAGTACCCCGCCGTCCATGGTGAATCTATCAAATGATAGCAGAATTAACTACAAACAAGTAAATCAGCTTCCAGGTATTCAAGTATTGGTTTGTATGGATTTGATTGGTTGGTTACAGGATTTCATCATGAATTGATATCAGTTAGAGAAACAATGGAAAACCTCCAGGGAGTACTGGACAACTGTTTCCTACGTCCTCATTAGGGAATCTACAGCAGTACGCAGAGGTTCGAACCCGCGACCTTCTGGTTACAAGGCAAGCCAGCTCATAGACCGACCCTTAAGTCACTCTCTGGGACTCGATCCAATAGCCAGCCGATCCATGAATTCTAGCTTCTGCCAATTCACTGACCACATAGTGCAATCACTTCGCAATATCTTCTTCAGTGAGCTACAGCCTCACCTTCAACCTGCCTCACGGTGGGTGTGTACTGCTGAAGAGTCCCAAACTAAGACGTAGGAAACAGCTGTGCAGCACTCCCAGGTGGTTTTCCAATGGTTCTCTAACTGATGTCAGTTCATGATGGAAAATCCTCCAACCAATCAGACTAAATCCTTACAAAAGAAACCAATACTTTTAGACTACTTTGTTATTTAAACTTAATATATTGGAACAGTTAAAAATATCATCTGAAGCAGAATAACACTGAATCATTTTGTTTGAAAACCTCGGATCAGCTGTTTACTATCTCATATTGTTTGAATGTCAAGTTATGCTAAACGTTTTCATCAGATTGACTGGTCTCAAGGTGGAGTTTATCTGCATTAAAATAATATGTGAACCAATGAAATAGGAAGATGTGATTGACTGATAGTGTTAACGGTTTGACGTTATCGTCATCTTCACTTCATCAAGAATAACTTTGTGTCAAACTGATTGGCATGTGTGAATGCTCATTTCTTTAAAATGTTGTTATTAAAGTTGTTTTAAGATATTGGTGACTGATAGGAAACTCCGAAACTCCAAAGTGATATTTTCTTTTTATCCTACTTCAAATAGTACTGTGTTCATTATCAAGTAAACGAATCAAATGAAACTTCAATTGTTATAGCTTTATTTTAAGGTTTCAAATTTTAGCCAGCTTGAGGCATTGAATAAACATATTATTATTATTGCTTTGGGTTGTGAGTGGAGCACTGGGCTTCAGCAGTACATCTTTACTTCGTCGTATTTTCTGTAGTGTACCTTAGTTGGCCCCACGATTACACATAGTCTCTCATCTCCTCCTCACACGGTCTTCTACATGTCATCCTTGGACAGACGCCCAACTCGTCACTTCCTATTTGGGCTCCAATAGAGGCTATGCCTGGCATAAGATGTTACTCAGTGGTCCCCTCGATGTGTGTCCGATCTATCTCTACTTTCTTCGGAATTTGTGTTAAGCGATAGGTTCTTGATTGATTCGTTCGCAGAGTTTCTTTTTGCTAATTCTTTCTGGCTGGCCATCTAGTCTTTAATATCATTATTTATTATTGTTTCCTTTAGTTCCTAGAGGAGTAAAGGGCTTCAGCCACTCGCCTCCATTGCGTTTGGTTCTCCACTAATGTTTTACCTGGCTCTACGTCTGTTCACAAGCTTTCATCTCGTCTTTGCATAACCTCCTTCATGTCACCCTCGCACTGACGACCAACTCGCCGCTTCCAGTTCGGCCGGGTTCCACTCAAACGATGGCCTGGAGTGTGATGTCACTCAATTGATGGTTTGTTTTCTCAGAGTATGGCCAATCCACCCACATTTCCTCCTGCATACTTGTTACACAACTGGTTCCTGATGGTTTGGTTCGCTCATTGCCAGAGATTCCTCCCTGTTGCTGATCTTTCCTGGCCGGCCATCTGATCTTGAGTATAGTCTTCAATATAGAGTTAGCAGAGTCAGCTGTTGATAAAAGTCTGCAGTGGTCTGTTTGAAATGCCTTCCATGGCGAGCAGTGCAAGTTTCTGACTTATATAGAGAAAGTGACTCACTTAACAGTGGTGCTGAAGATCCGAGTTTCATTCTTTGTGCTGAGTGCAGGAAATTTTTAAACTGATAAATACCCGTTTTACCTTTCCGAGCCTAACTGGCTTCGACATCGTCACCCGTCCTACCGCCTTTAGCTGAAACGAAGCTGCCTAGGTAATTGAAAGAAGTGACTTTTTCAAATTTATTATGTTGATTGCGATTCGTGTTTGTTGTTGTTTGGTAAATTTCATCACCTCCATCTTCTCTGTGTTCACCTGAATCTATGTCTTTGCTGTAAGTTTTTTTGGTTTTCGCCTGTAATTCGTCATGTTTTCATGATATTAGATAATAATCATCCGCGAGATCCACATCTATCGACAGTTCCCTTTATAATGCAGTCCACCACAATTACGAATATCATCGGTAATGTTGAACAGAGAGTAGTCTTACTCCTGTCTTGACTTCAAAGGCTTCTCATCAGCTTTCTACTGTGGATTACTTAACAACTGGAATTGTCGTATAGCTGTTGAATGAGGCTGATGAAGATTTGGGGCAACCCATAGTGTTGAAGCAGTATCCAAATCAATTTTCACTCAACGCTATCAAAGGCCTTTTCAAAGTCGATAAAGTTGATGTGAAGACTTGACTGGTATTTTATTCTCTTTTCGATGACGATACATGGAGTTGCCATTTGATCTGCACATGATTTGCTTTTCCTGAGTTCAGCTTACTCTGAGTGGAGTTCTGCACCTAGTACATCTTTCAGTCTCCCCAGGATTAAACTACTTAATATTTTGCTTGGTGTGGATAAAAGCATGATTGCATGGAGGATTTCATCATGAGCTGACATCATTTAGAGAACCACTGGAAAACCTGCATAGCACTACTGGACAGCCGTTTCATCCTAGTTTGGGACTCTTCATCAGTACGCACCCACCGGAGTTCGAACCCAGGACCTTCCGGTTACCAGGCGAGCTCATAGACCGTTGAGCCACTGGAACCCGAAGCTAGAATTCAAGGACCATTGGATCGGGTCTCAGTGGTTCAATGGTCTACGAGCTCGCCTGGTAACCAGAAGGTCATGGGTTTGAACCCTGGTGGGTGTGTACTGCTGAAGAGTCCTAAACTAGCACGGAGGAAACGGCTGGCTGTCCAGTACCTCCTGGTGTGGTTTTCCCATGGCTCTCTAACTGATGTCAGCTCATGATGAAATCCTCCATGCAATCAAACAAAATCCCCACAAAACCAATACTTGAAAAAGCATGATTCCGCACGAGATAAGTTTGTTAACTCGACTACCTTCTCCTGAAATGGCCGAATTGAGACTTTAAAAACAATCTTTAGGAATTTTGAAACCTTTTCGTTTATCAACTTCTGTTGAATGTGATGTGATAAGGGGTTTCATTAGAGCCTTAGAACGAAATAGCATTTGAGTCAAATCTACTTATAGATTCTGCAGTTTTTATGAATGTCAAAATGCGCCTAATGATTTTCCTGTTCCTGCATTAATATAAGTGAGTGCTGCACATTACATTTCTTCTTTTTCATTTAACTAGGTTGTTCCTGGTGTTATGAAATACGTTAGAGAAAAACTTGGCAGAAAATTCGTTGAGCCACCGCCATTCGATCTAGCTAGATCATATCAAGATTCAAGCTGTACCACGCCGCTGATTTTCATCCTTTCCCCTGGTGCTGATCCAACTATGGCATTACTGAAATTTGCTACGGACAAAGGTTTTGGAGGTGCACGCTTCCAATCAATCAGTTTAGGTCAAGGTCAAGGGCCTATAGCAGCTAAAATGATTTCACAGGGCAAACAAGACGGATCATGGGTTCTACTTCAAAACTGTCATTTGGCTGTCAGTTGGATGACAGCGCTTGAAAAGATCTGTGAAGATATGACTGTAGAAAATACAAATGCAACATTTCGTTTATGGCTAACAAGTTATCCATCTCCAAAGGTATGTTTATGCAATAAATAAAATGCACCGCTCTTTTATGCTATCCATCTTTTAGGTTTAGAAACCATGAAGGTGTTGTGTCGTCATTTATGGGTGCTTCCCATAAGTGATAGATTATGTTTCAATGCGAGTAGTAATTGATTTTGTAAATGGTGACCACCGGTTTTATCAATAACTGATAAATCTAATTTTTTCGGTAAATAGTGTGGATCTCTGCCGTTAGTCGTTACCTTAGCACTGTAGTCAAATTTGTCGGCTGCAGCAAGCCAGCGAGTTACAGGGTCTTACTATGCACCACTGAAAGGATGGCTGGAATTAAGGCAATTTGGTAGATGCATGACTTGTTTAATTCTCCCCAGGATGATGCGGCTTAGTATTTTGCTTGGGGTAGATAGGAGCATAATGCCGGGCCAGCTCTTGCATTGAACTAAGTCCCTTTTCTTTAGCAGTTTGAATAAGTAGCCTTTCTTACAATCCGCAGTTACCTTGTTCTCTTTCCACACCTTCTCCAGTGGTGATGTCATCAAGTCCACTGATATCTCTGGGTCCATGATCAATACCTCTACTGGTATTCCGTCTGGTCCTGCTACTTTTCCAGTTCTTAGCATCTTTACTGCCTTCAGGATTTCTGTTTTCGTCGGAGGTTTGATGTCCACTGGTAATTCTGCTTCCTCTGTTGGTATTATTGGGCACGTTGTATGTGGCGGTCAATTTAGAAGTCTTTTGAAGTGTTCAGCCCAGTGTTTCCTTTACTGCACCTCTTTAGTGATTGGCTTTCCTTTGTCATCCTTCCCTGGCTTAATTTGTGTCGAACTTTTCCCCGATAGTAACCTATCTGTTTGGTAGAGTGTTGCGAGATCTCCTTTGCCTGCAGCTTGCTCTGCTTCCCTTGCCATAGCTTCCTAATATTTTCTTTTGTCTTCCCTGGCACTTTTCTTTACTCTTTTGTTCCGTGTCTTGTAGCTTGCATTCAACTCCTGTTTTTGTTGCTCATCGGTACACTGGATAATCTTTTGATTCAACATCCTTTTCTCTTCCATTAGTCTGCATGTGTCCGTAGTGAGCCACTGTTTATCCTGTCTCTTCTTTCTGCCTAGAACTTCCATGCAGGTTTGACTCCACACCACTTTCAGACTGTTCCAGTGTTTTTCAACGCTGGTCTCTTCGTTAGTGTTGATTTGTCTCTCGGCTTTTTTCCTTATTTTTGCTAGCTGACTGAAACTTCCTTGAAACACGCACAGAGTCACAAAACGATCCAAAGATAGCAAAAGATGGTTGTTCGTCGTAATGTCTATGATTCTATTCAAAAATAGTAAAATCAAAAACTCAAAATTACCTCAACACTCCCATTAGGCAGCCATACAGGCAAGATAATTTTCTCAGTATTTAACAAGTACTGTAGAACCAAATCAGTTAACCGAAATTCAACTGTAAGCAGTACCTCAGGATAGAGCAGGATATTCCCAACAAGGTGGGCTCAAAAACTTTGTACACAAGAATCGCACACCAGGAAATACTCTCAGATAGTTCAAGTTCAGAAATGACCTTGATTGACTCAAAAACAAATTTTCAATTATTGGTTTTGTAGGGGTTTCTGTTTGATTGGTTGGAGGATTTCATCATGAGCTGACATCAGTTTGAGAACCACTGAAAAACCACCTGTGAGTACCGCACAGCCGTTTCCTACGTCCCAGTTTGGGACTCTTCATCAGTGCGCACCTACCGCCAGGGTTCGAACCCAAAACCTTCTGGTTACAAGGCGGGCTCGTGCGTACTGGTGAAGAGTCCCGAACTGGGACGTAGGAAACGGCTGTCCAGTACTCCCAGGTTTTCCAGTGCTACTCTAACTGATGTCAGCTCATGATGAAATCCTCCATCCAATCAAAAACAAATCCCAATCGTGAAACAACACATTATTAGTGTATCTCAAAACTACTGGAAGAATCATCGAAACGATAGATTAAACGGTGATAAAGACAAATAATAGAGAAGCAGGTGAATATATATGCAAACGCCAGAACCATGACATGCAGTGTAGGAGAGAAACGGATAAAAATTATGAAGTTAGTTGAAACATCTAAATGATTATCAATATTGTGATTAGATCGGTCAGCAGGAACTTTCCAAACAATTTTTTCATTACATAGGTATAATTTTCTATAGTTGTTTTGAAAGGTTTAGGTTTGTTTTTACTAGCTGATCACGGATTGATATCAGTTAGAGAACCATTGAAAACCAGCCACATGGAGTACTAGACAGCTGTTTCTTCCGTCCTAGTTTGAGAGTCATCGGCAGTACGCACCCACCTCAGGGTGTTCGAACCCAGGACCTCCAGGTTACAAGGCAAGTTCGTATACTACCTGGTTTTCAATAGTTCTTTAACTGATATCAATCCGTGTTCAACTCGTAAAAACATAGGTATAACATTGTAAGTTTGTAACAAAAGTGACATATCACAATAGACAGTCCTTGCGAGTGCTACTTCACAGTGTTTAAATTGTAAAACATTTGCGTATATATGCCATGATTTTAAAAAGTGGCATAGATAAGATACAATTACAGTTAGATGCTAATGTCGAAATTAGTGAGGCTAAAGTTAATATTTTCATAACTAACGACATTATTTCTAAAAGGTTAGTATCCTTATGATAACCATAGTTTCAATGTGTGAAATTATTCGTCTCAGTAAAACTAACTTGAATGTACATCTTTTCAGTTTCCAGTGACTGTCCTACAAAATGGCATAAAAATGACAAATGAACCGCCTACAGGTTTAAGACAAAATCTACTTCAGTCATATTTGAATGATCCTATATCTGATCCAGAATTTTTTGAAGGTTGTCCAGGAAAAGAAGCTGTAAGTTACATTTTTTTTAAATTTTGTTTTTGTTGTTATCATTATAACTTTTAAGGAAATCGACATGATCAAGGGAAAAGATGTGAAAGTGTGACCCTTCAGTAACTAGCAACACTTAGTATGTGAAGATGGTGGTTATGTGAATATACTCATAAATGCTATATCGACAGTTTAACACCTTATTACATGGATTGTCGGGGTTTCAGCAGTAGAACGCTTGCCGGCCACGCCACACGTGGTACTGGGTTCGTTTCCCACGGTCAACATAGTCCTAAACCTCACTAAACGGATAGTAAGGCTGGCAGATAGGGAAGGCTAGACGTGAGGCTAGCAATCTCACCTTGTAAAAATAAAACCATTGCTACCGAAGATTCAAAGATCAAAGCTTGAAACCCTGTATTCTACTAGGAATGTAAACGAACAAAATAAACAAAAAAAATTAACATGGATTGTCTACTTCTCAAAATATTTAAGTGATGCTGCGAAAAGCAACTGAAATATACCTACTCGTTGTGAATAGTCAGTGTATACAGCTGTCAGTTTACTGTATACCTAAAATAGAAAATTTTTAGTAAAATGCTAAACAAAATATATACCGAGTTAGTTGAAGGATTTCATCATGAGCTGACATCAGTTAGAGAATCATTGGAAAACCACGCCAGGAAGTACTGGACAGCTGTTTCCTACGTCCTAGTTTGGCACTCTTCATCAGTACGCACAGACCACCACGGTTTAAACCCAGGACCTTCTGGTTAAAAGGCGGGCTAGCTCGTAGACCATTGAGATCGATTGCCTCCAACCATCTAATATCATTCAAACTATGTTAGATGTTTAGATTACTCAACAGTGTATAAATAAAAGACACTAATATACATGAAATGAAAGTATTTATTCCTGAAAGTAGCCGCCATTTTCGGTTTTCTGAAGTTTTGGTGTTATTCTAAGGCAGGGGATTTCCTTCCTGTACATAATTCATTTCTATTGTGTAGTTCTTTCTTTAGTTCTACCACATGGTCTTATTTTTTCGCCTTGACTTTTCTTTCCACCTACCACCTCAAAAAGACACTTTTGTTTTTTAAAAATATTTTGTACAAAAAGCTAATAATAATAAATTATTTTTTGAAATTATATACATTTGTTTCAGTTAGATAAAAGTGTCTGAATAAGAAATTTTATTTCTTTTCTGATGAAAACGTTTACATTTAAAAACTTTTATATAACATTTTAATTTACCATTTTCAAGCGGTTAATTTGACTTCATTTAAATGAGACATGCGCCATACAATTCACCAAGTAAGGTGTACATGGAAGATTCGAATAGAAATTTCTTGGTGTTCTCTGAAAATCAGAGATCACATTTATAAGTTAGAGAAGTGGTAAACAATTGGTTTGAATAGCTCCATTTAATAAACATATTTATCAATTTATTTTACTTCTTCGTGTCCTGACTGGAAGATAGGGCGGCTTCAAGCTTGATATTGGAAGTTTCTGAAGCAGTCGCATTTATTTTTTTCGAGGTGGAGTAACCAGCTTCATGTCCAAACTCCTCTTTTTATCGGGCCTTACTCTACCAGCTAAGTGAGGTAAATGGCATGCAGCGGCTGAGGGGATCGAATCCCGAACCACATGAGTGGTTGACGACCACTTCAGTGTTGAACTTTGAGGATATGAATTCTTCAGTATATTCTCTTATTTTATCATAAATATGTTCACTGAGTAAGTTTATTGTCGATGCGTCGGTGGTACAGTCGTAGGATGTTCGACAACCGCGCATTTGGTGCGAATTTCGATTTCCAACCGATTTACTGTTATACTTAGAAACATTTTTTTCCTCTAGTTTATTTAAAACAAGCTCCAACTGTGAACAAAAGGAGTATTCAATGAATTCATAAATTTTGGTGGAGGGACTCGTCAGCTGAATACTCTCATACAAACACTCTTCTTTATACAATTTTTGATTTAAGGTTAAATAAATACAAACACGTGAACGGTGTGAGAACAAATAAGTATCAGTTCGAACAAATATACGATCTCTAAGTTTTCTGAGTTACAATATAAGTGTCGAACTTGGGCACTATGGTAGAATGTAATTCTATATTGGATGAGTTTATTTTCAAATATCACACAGCGATGACAATTTGTCACATATTTTTTCTCTGTAATCTGTCTCTCCTACTTCCCCTTCTTGTTTGTTACCACTTTTCGTATCTCCGGTATAGGCGATGTGTTGCGCCATTCCGATTTTTTCACGTGTGAGGTGTTGAGTGGATACACAAAGATTCAGTGATTGACCTCTCTCTCTCCACCTAACTACATTACATTTTAATACTCTCACCCTGCCTCACCCATCCTATTTTGTGATTACATGCAAGTGAATGCAGTGCAGTGGCTAAGGTATTTCCTAGGTTATTTAATTAAGCAGGGTAAATTATTCTAGGTCTAGCTAAATTTTTATGTCACAATAATCTAGTTGATCCTGATCTACTAGTTCGAGCTATGCAACTGACCTCACTCGCAGTCATTACATGGCATTTGGTAAACTTTATTATTTTTCTTAACTGTATCTATTGGGACCTCAGGCCGTTAGACAAAGTTTATCTCTGAGAGATTTGGTTGGTTTAAATGCCACCCTATTTCCAGAGTCAATTAGAATTCTACGCAAGGCCTCTGACGTCCCTTCTTTACAGAGACTTTGAATTCTATATTATTTTCGTTATTTTTATTGCTAAGCTTAGTTTTTCAATGATTTTTCATGTCACCGAAAATACCCATTGAGTCATGAAGAAAATAGAAGACAAATTCAGAGAAGAAAATTTTCTTTACCGACGAAATCATCTTCGGACGCTGTACTGTACAGTAGTATTTATATTTACCGAAAATGCATAGTAGTCTATAATTGAGTAATAGGGGGTGACAAAATTGATATAATTACTTGGAAGTAGCTTCAGAAGTAAAAAATAAAAGTTGTAAATTACGTGGTACTCCTCAACGGCACAAAGTTAGAAGTTTAATAAGGTTAAAATTGCTATTGAGTGAGAATAAAGATAGTTGAGTGTCAATTTGACAAGTGTAAGGAGGGTGAGAAAATGTACAAAAGGAACATATGAGAGTGATAATAGTGAATTAATTATTAAAGTAAAAGCAAACTAAAAGTAAAATTGAAAATTGAAAAATAAAAATTGTTTTACAGGGAACGACTAGTGAAGAGGTTAAGACCAAGGTAGAATAAGAGACTGAACAAACTTTTTCTGTATACAGAGTTCAGGGTTGTATTGACGAATTGGCAGCGCCTCCGCCATACACAAAAGCCGAAACCTGACGCCCTTTGTACCATCTGGCCTCACCTTGTAGATGATCTTGAAAGACGACTTTGGTGGAGCTACGTGGCTTGAGTTCACCAAGTGCTCAAGAATTGAGCTGGAAATTTTCTTGCACTGTCCTTTTGCTAACCATGCCGGATAATGTTCATCTGTGAACATTATCCGGCATGGTTAGCAAAATTAAATATGTGTAAACTATATGGGATTACGTAACAAGAATAAATGTGTCTCATCTAAACTCGTAAGATAATGTGAACACTTCTCAGCAAGATTAATACTCAACCATGAGATTTTTGATTTGCACACTATGTCAGATAAAATAATAACAATTGAGAAAACATTGCAAGGAGAGGAGGGAATGGAAGGAAAATTATAAATGTAAAATAAAAGTATGCTACCAAGGTAGATTTAAGCTAATTACTGTCTCCTTTTGTATACATAGATCCGGCTTCTTTAATCTAACTGCACAGGCTTCAGAAAAATTAGGAACCTTTTCTATTACCTTGCTAATTAATAACTATAAAGCTTTTACTCACCATCACCTTACAATCCTAGTCCAAGAAATGTTATGTGACTGAGGTCCTTGGGATGCTATCATGAGTACTAGAAAGCTGTTTGGGGTAGTGTTTGACAACGCTAACCGGCAGACATCTTTTCGTACGCCCAATGTATTTGATTCCACAAACACATGTGAGTTGATATACACATTTTAATGTAGCGAGGGTCAATATCTTATCTTTGCATGCTGCTTGCACTATCTCCACTGTTGTGTTTCATGAGCTGGTAGTAGGCGAGCGCCAATCACCATCAACGGGAGGTATTTTATAAGAGGTTACTTCATTCACTTATCTAGGGAGCATTGTCTCAACTACAGGAGGAACGGACGAGGATGTCAAATCGAGAATCGGGAAGGCGAGAAACACATTCATCAACCTGAAACCAATCTGAAAATCTTCGTTACTCCTCAGCATCAACAACGAAATTCGGATTTTCAATACAAACGTCAAGTCAGTTCTTCTATACGGATCATAAACTTGGCGGCGGGTCACAAAGAATATTTCTAACAGCCTGTTGCAGACCTTTATCAACAACTGTCTTCGTTCTATACTGAAGAATCAGATGGCCGGAAAGAATCACCAACAAGAAACTATGGGAGCAAACAAAACAAGGACCAATCGCTCAACAAATATGCAGAAGAAAGTGGAGATGGATTGGACACTCACTCGCTGAGGAGGCCGTTGGGTGACATCGCGCGTCAGGCCATCGCTCGAGTGGAACCCGAAAGGGTAGCGGCGAGTGGGACGTCCCAGGGTGACATGGAGGAGATCTTGTGAAGAAGAGTTGAAACAGTATGGACTAACATGGATGTAGGTGAAAATTATGGCAGAAGACAGAAGCAAGTGGAGACGTGCAGTCGAAGCCCTATGTTCCACTAGGAACCCAAGGGAACAATAATAATAATAGTAGGCGAGGTAAACAGCGAAGGTTGAGCACGAGGCTGGCAAGCCCACCGCTCCTAAAATTTCAAAGCTGATACTTGGAGCTCAGTGTCCCTCCCGCTCAAAACTCTAAGCAATCAAAAGGAGAGTTTATTCTTAGTCTACATTATTCTTTCACATATCCGCTTAGTTCTTACTTCCCCAAAACATTTTCAATTTGAGGTTTTTATTCAACTTTGATAATCTTCTTCCTCTTTAAGTGTGTAGTGATTTTGATTAAAACTGACAAATGCAGATAATTAAATTTCTTCAAAAATAAAATACATTTCAAAGAAAGTTGAATTTTATTAACAAAAATAAATAAACTTCTAACTCTGTAAACAGTCTGTTGTAGTCAGATAAGTAAGGTCTGTGACTAACTTTCACCACTATTAATGTATGCAAAAATAAATAAATGGCTTTAGGATAATTTCGTGTATATATTTTGTATACAATTTCACACTCGCTTTGATATATATAACTGACATTTTGTTAAGTGTTTTTCCTGTCTATATGGATAACTTTTTGGGAACTTTGGAAAATGACTAATCAAACAGGCACACATACCCACATGCACAAGCCTTACAGATGTCGGTCTGGATTAGTCACATTGATTTTTGCTGTTTGATTTTCCAAAAAAGCGTGTTGATGCGCCCTATTTAAGATACATTTTTCCCTCTCTCTCTCTCTATATTTTTTTATCAGACTACATTTCTCTTTCCCAGTCAAAATATTAAATATTCTATGAGATACCATAATCGGCAGGTTTCTTAATTATGTACATAGACGAAGCTGACTGTCTTGGATTTTACACCTATTCATTGTCTGTAGTTAGAAGTGAAAATGTAAAGATTCTGGAGATTTTTTACTATATTACTGAGCTTTTCAAGTTTGCCTACGGATTGATATCAGTTGGAGAACGATTGGAAGCCAGGAAGTGCTTGACAGCTGTTTCCTTCGTTCTAGTTTGGGACTCATCGACAGTACGCCCCCACCGGGGTGGTCGCACTAAGTTAGAATTCATGGGTTGGCGATTGAGTCGGGTCCCAGTGCCTGAATGGTCTACGAGGTTGCCTTGTAACGATTCGTTAACTCTTGCATCCTGCCTATTTTCAAGGGCTACTGAAGAAAGACTATAGCTTATTACGCAGGAAGTTAAAGGTTGTCAGCAGGGTAAGCAACTTGCCACTTAACCAGCTTGTTAATATTCTGGTCGACAGGCACTTGGACTCATGTGAAAAATGGGCTTAGTCCATTCTGTCTAACTCACACCACCCTCTTCATTCACAACTCTCCCCTTGCATCTCATCAGGCAAAACCAGAAGCCTATATAGAAAACTATATGCTCGCACTAGCAAGTACAAAAACTCAACCATACCCTACTTAGCTCGTGTTCTGTGCGATAAAGAAAGCATTTGGCGTGACACTTATAATTCATTAAATAGTCAGTAGAACAGCTGGATCTCGTCTTTCCAACTCATATCATTTATAGCTAAAACGTTTTCTTTCTTTCTTTTCCTTTTCTCTCTCTTTTTTTCTGTTATGTGCTGCTTTGTTTCTTTCTTCCGCTTACGCCAGTAAATATGCTAGCATCTACTTTTCTAACACCTTCAAACACTGTTCAATTTTGGCTTTGCTACCGACATGCCAATATGTTGTTGTCATAATGAACTGAGATTCCCTTAATCTATGTAGAATTTTATTTATTTATTGTTAATGCACTAACTGGGTGCAATACTGTAGTAAAAATGCTGAGAATTCCATTCTGTATCACAAGTACTGTTATTGTTGGAAGGTCCTGGGTTCGAACCCGAGCAGTGAGTACGTACTGCCGACCAGTCCCAAACTAGGACGGAGGAAACAGCTATTCAGTACTCTGTGGTATTCAACGGTTCTCCAACTGATATCAATCCGTGATTAAACTTGAGACATATCAATTCTTGCACTACAAAAGTGTTAGACTAGTGTGAGATGGTGCGCTTAGACCTGTGAGCATGATTATTTAGAGGGTGACAATATATACTCATGAATAAAAGCTGACTGATAGTTTTACTGCGTCATGAACTGATTCAAAATATTATAAATTTATACATTTATTCCTCTTGGTGAATTTGGACAAAGCACGAACAACAATTTGTGCAAAATAAGGTGGTGCCATTATTTATTTCGTCGGCTTCTCACAAGCTACGTACAGTTTACAAATGTTGTGGTGAGAGCTGGCTGCAAGCCAAATTTGTCGACAGCAATTTACGTCAATGTTACGTGCGGAATTGGGGTCATGAGAAAAAAAACAATAACAAAGCTTAACCTTGAGGAACTCACCAACCAATCACAGCAGACTTAACGTGTGCAAATACGATTCGCAGATATATGGCTTAACTTTCTAAGAAACGGCTCGAAAGAGATGACAAAATAACCTTCAACAAGAAAACAACCAATCAGAAGGGTTGTTTCTCTGCTGACAATAATGTATATAAAAATCTATAAATATCTGTTGATTTTCTGAATAAACGATCTGTTTCCTGGCCCTTGTCTTCTGTCGCTACACTGTTACATCATCTGTCAGCTGACAGGAGGCTCCAAACTTAATGAACAGTGCTCAGAAATTTTCACTTAAATAGTTTTTACCCAGAGAGTTCAAGTTTCAACCAACAACAAAAAAAATCAATGTGTGCATACAATGGTAAGTGAGTAACGTAATAAAGACAAGAGATTAAAGCCAAAACTCTGTTCTATAGAGTCAGGAGAATATACTCTACAAAAAAATTAGAGGAAGAATTTATGTTCCTCAAAACGATGTTGAAAAACAGCGGCTATCCTCAGAGACTCATTAACAAGCATGAAAGTTGTGAAGGCTCAAACATGAAACAAATCACAGTGGGAAAAAAGTCAGTTTTAATTCAGCAAAGACATTAAATATTAGTAATTCATGTTGACTAGATGGATAAATTATTTTGCCAAAGGATGTTACGCTAAAATATGAAAAATTCATGATATTTTTAATAGATATATATGCATATATATATATTCCACTTATTTTTTGTTTTTTGGCGGGTTTTAGGTTTTTGAAAAATTACTATTTGGATTGTGTTTCTTCCATGCACTTGTACAAGAACGTATTAAATTTGGTCCTTTGGGATGGAATATACCGTATGGATTTAATGAATCTGATTTACGCATATCAGTTAGACAATTACAAATGTTTGTTAATGAATATGATAAAGTTAGTTGGAATAATTCTAGTTTTTACTATTATTACTATTATTTTATTATTATTGATGACGTGCGATATGGAAAAAGGTTTTAATATTACCTGAAACTTAATGTCTGTTTGTATTTTTAAAGAAGGCCTGCTGCTAACTTATTTACTTAATTACTTACCTATGACAAAGTACACAGTTTTGTCCAGCTGGTAACTGAACTGTTGTAAGCTGATAATAACTCAGTTTCCATAAAAGTCCCCCCCCTAGACTACCCTTTGAGGATGCCGAAGAATAATAACATACTGTACGAGCAGTATTCATAATCTAAAATGGTTTCCAAACAGTTTTCCACATCACGGAAAGTGGTTGACAGTTCGATAACAGAGCATCTGGTAAATTCTGGGCATTCATCCCCATGTGAAAAGTCCTTCAAAGCCATATATAAGATCCGATCCAACCTACCGAAGGGAGTGAAATCAAGACATCTAGGAATAATAGAGGCACTGGCGATCCAAAAACTCAAGCCTATTCTATGTGTCCAAAAGAAATACATTCAACCGTTGTCCCTACCGTGGTCATCATGAAAAGTTAGTTTTACTAATCATGATTATTCTATTACCCTTCTTGTCCAACCTTCCCGTTTATTTGTTATATTTACCTTTTAAATACCTATCTGCATTTTAGATTTGATTGCTGTTTTTATTTCTATACGTCCGAACCTCCTACCCCATTTCGTTAATACTACATCTTTAAACCGTAATTATACAAACTGATTAGTTTTCTAGTAATTATAATCCTATTTTGTCTTTTCTACCCGATCTTCCTGATTATTACATATTGTAATTTTTAATTTGAACTTTGGACTGAAAGATTTCTAGAATAGTGTGCCACTACCTATCTTCTGTTTATTACACTTAGTAATTTTATTAATCTGACGTCTGACCGAAAATAATTCGGGAACTTTCTCACACATGTAATATAAGTACACGAATGTACAGCCTCCTAGTTGGTGAATAAACCTGAAGCATTAGAAAAGACTACTAGTGAGTTGACAGATAGCCTCTGACGACTGATTCTTAGAATCTCAAGAAATTTAGCTTGGCAGTTTACACCTTCATGCAGCTGAGGTCGTCAGTCAAAAACTTCATGTGATGGTGCCGTACTTTGGTCCAATCAAGCTTAACTGTTTCCTAATCTAGTCCTTTTTGGCTTAAGATTGCTTGTGGCGGAGGAGAGCGGATCAGTATCCGTAATACATATCCTAGATACCTTGATCAATCTATTTTTCTTCTCACTCATGAATATTCGTCGCATGCATCTTTGGTTTGTGTGATTGGCGTTTTATCAAGTATAATTGCATTGGTAGGTTTTATTAATAGAATGGCTGGAAATATGGATTCTTCACTGCAAGTTCTCTTTTCCTAAAAACTGAAACAGATCCTAGTTTAATGAATTCCTGCAATACTCATCGGTCTATCAACCTTTTACAAAACGTGTATACAAGCCATACGGAGGATGGAGGTGATGAAAATAACCAACCCATAACAATAGTAACCAATCAAGATCAGCGGAATAAATTTGAAGGAGGTCACTTTCTTCAATTATCTAGGAAGTATCATTTCAACTGCAGCCGACTTCACCGATGAGGATGTCAAAATCAGATTCGGAGGGGCAAGACAGACGTTAATCACTCTGAACTCACCATGAAGAACAATGTTAAGTCAGTAAATCACTTCTCCGCTATGGGTCAGACACTCTCACTGCACGTAACGAAAAGCATTTCCAACAGGCTACGGCGAACATGTATCAACAACTGCCTCCTTCGCTGGTTCCATACTGAAGATTAGGTGACCATCTGGCCAGAAAGAATCAACAACAAGAAATTCTCGGAACGAATCAATTAAGAGTCGTTTTTTCAACAAATATGCCTATAAGAATGGCGATGGAACGGACACACGCCGATTAGACCGTCTTGACATCGCTCAAGTGGAACCCTAATGGGTGCTGCAGCACTCCCACCCTAAGGAAAATTGAAGAAAGATATCTCATGGACGTCTTCCAAAAGAATGGATATCCACGGAATTTCATCAAAAGACATCTACCCCCAAGCCAACCTAACAAATCAAAGGCCCCCAAGGAAAGCACAAAGAAAATCACCCTACCATATATAAAGGACATCTCAGAAATCATTGCAAGACTCTTCAAACCTTTAGCAACTGACGACACACACAAACCAACAAAATCACTTCACCCAGCTCTGTGTCAACCAAATGACTCAACAGTGAAAGAAGATAAAAGCAACATCATCTACAAAACAATTTGCAATGACTGTGAAAAACACTACACTGGCCATAGTAGATGTCCTCTTCGTCTTCGTATTCAAGAACATAAACTTGGCGTCAAAAGACATGACATCCACTCCCTCATATCGCCTCACTGCATACAGACAACCACGGACATCAATTCGACTGAGACAATCAGCGTTCAAATATTAGACAGAGTAAAACACCATGAATGCTGGAGAATTTTTAGAAGTCTGGTATTCCAGTGAATCGACGTTCAATAGACACATCGAAATAGACAAAATTTACCAATCGATAAGAAGGAAATCTCACACACTAAGGGCTAATGTTTAAATCGAGGAAATAATCAGTTCCAAAACAAGTAGCCTAGAAGGCGTGAAACTACAGAAAAACAACCAATCACGATGTGCCAGGTCACCCGTCAGGAGAGATGACTAATAAACTAGTGGAGAAATCTAAAAGGTCACTTCAAATTGAATTATGCTCTGAATATATTGCCTAGTAGGATAATGAAAGCTTCGCAAATTAACTATCCAGCTCAGAGAACACAACCACATCTAAATCTACTTCACCTAAATGGAAGATGAAATTATCAATAAGCAGTGATAGCATAAACGATTATCGTAATGAAAGAATAATTGGTCGAAGGTTTAACGTGTAAAAGATCTCAGGAATAGCTGGAATACCTCACTCTTAAACAAGAACAGCTCATAAGTAATTAAAGGAACATGGTTTTAACTAATAACAGTCTTTCTTTCATCATTTTTAATGGTCAACATATCCTACAAACATGAGCTTCCCTGATTGCACCACAGTAATTCTCCATGTTTTTTAAAATTTTCATTTCTTCAAAGGTACCATATGATGCCATTCAGTATATGACTGGTGAATGTAATTATGGTGGTCGGGTTACAGATGAACGTGATAGACGTTGTTTAATGACAATATTACACGATTTCTTATGTCAGAATGTTGTCAGTGATCCACGTTACAAATTCTCACCAAGTGGATTGTACTATGCACCACCTAAAATGGATTATAATGAATATTTAGAATTTATTAAAGTGAGTCAGACATTTTCTACTTTATAAATATTTTATTATCACTTTGCTTTAGAAAGTGACAAAACTATGAGTTCAGCGAAGAGTCTCTTTTCGGTGTCGAATTCATTTTCTTAGCTGTACAATCGCAAATAAATATGGCTTATTTTATATGAATGTGTAGATTAAGTTTGTCAAACAAAATTACAATTGGTTATGGTTATTTTAACTAAACAGGTGAAGATTGGTAATCGGAGTTACGTAATACAAAATCGGTCAAGAAAATTAGGTGTTAATGAAATTAGGGTAGTAACAGAGGTGATGAGTTGTCACAAAAAGTTGTTAAAAAGAAGTTATGTAATAATATGAATAGTTTGATGAGTGAGTTTTACTCAGGATACACATAGGAACAAAGTAGAGAATACGAAATTATGTAAGAGTTCTAAATGAATACAAGAATTATAAGCAATTAAAGAAACAGGCAAACAAACAAAATTAAGTCATCAAAAATCAACAAAGTTGTTACCACGACAGCAGAAGTGTTTACGTAATTCTCCGGTTTTTCTATGTGAATGGCCAGAACTTCGGCGATACAAAGAAGACGAAACCGTCTTGCCTTTTATTCTTTAATTACTTATAATTCTTTAATTGCTTATAATTCTTGTATTCATTTAGAACTCTTACGTAATTTCGTATTCTCTACTTTGTTCCTATGTGCATCCTGAGTACAACTCAATCATCAAACTATTTATATTATTACATAATTTCTTTTTAATAACTTTTTGTGACAACTCATCACCTCTGCTACTACCCTACTTTCATTAACACCCTATTTTCCTGACCGATTTTGTATTGCGTAATTCCAATTACCAATCTTCACCTGTTTAGTTAAAATAATCATAACCAATTGTGTTTTTGTTTGACAAACTCAATGTACATATATATATAATTTGCGATTTTGCAGCTAAGAAAATGAATTCGCCGAAAAAAGACTTTGCTGAACTACGTGTTTTGTTTTCACTAATGCCTGGGTGGGGATTATCCATGAATTAAAACTATGAGTTGACAAATTAGCTCATTTTGTTTTAGTGTGTGTTTTGTATCCCAACTCCACCCCCAAAATAACACCAATTATAAGGGAAACGTTTCCTACTATGCGTATGAAATGCAACCGACTCTTTTGTTATTTACAGGATTTTCATCATGAGCTGACATTAGTTAGAGAACCATTGGAAAACGTGGGAGTACTGGACAGCTGTTTCCCCTGTCCTAGTTTGGGACTCTTCAGCAGTACGCACCCACCGGGATTCGAACCCAGGACCTTCTGGTTACAAGGCGAGCTCGTAGACCATTAAGCCACTGGGACCCAATCCAATGGTCCATGAATTCTAACTTCTGCTAATTCACGACATAGCGCGACCCCTAGCCAATGTCTTCGGCGAGTATTTGTCCTCACGCCCGACCTGCTGCACCCTACTGGTCACGACTTCTCACTAGAACCCCAGGCAACTACCCACCTGAATAGGGCAAGTCACTAGTGAGCATCTCATTGATATTCAAGTTTTGGATTGTAGGGATTTGATTGGTTACAGGATTTTCATCATGAGCTGACATTAGTTAGAGAACCATTGGAAAACCTTTTGTTATTTTTTTCCAGCTTGGTTTTTTCCAACATTTATGTTAATATAAGATGAAAATTCAGTTGTTTAACCATTGTTTTCATCATGATATGACAATAAAATTGAAAAGAGTAGGAAAAAAGTTATTTCATTTCAGTCTGAAAAGTTGTTATCAGTATACACTCATAGTTTAAGAGTCCTTAAGTCTCCTCTATGTGATAATTTTTTAAATTTTTAATCCACTCTAATGACATAAATGAGCTGCAAATTTTGCCCGCAGTGCCATGAAACCTCACATAAAATCTGATGTTCACTACTGAATGGCTAGAGAATGAAACTGCCTTGAGTTCTGGCGGAAAGCTGTAATCACTGGGGGTCAACCAGGCCAGGTGTGAGGACAGACACTCGCCACGAATGACATTGGCTGGTCCCTGTCGCGCTAAAATCACAAACTGGTAGAAGTTAGAAGTGATGGGCCATCGAATAGGGTCCCACTAGATGAATTGTCCAGGAGCTCATCTTGTAACCACAGGGTCCTGGTTTGGAACTGTTGTGGGTTTGTGTAGCGTGAAGAGTCCAAAATTAGGGCGAAACAGCCATCCGTTATCCCTTGGTTTCCAATTCTCTCTAACTGATATCAATCTGGTCAAACTTGAAGTTAAATTTTAATTTCAGATATTAGATTTCATCACAAACTAATATTAGATGGACATCATTGAAAAGCAGGAAGAACTGGATAACTGTTTCACTCTGTTTTGGGACTCTTCGGCGGTGCGAACCGAAGACCTCAATAGAGACTGGATCTGAGGTTTTGAGGTTACGAACCAAGTCCTCTTAGACGAGAATTCAATAACTTATGAATTCAAAATTTGTCAATACGTAATGTAGCTCTATGCTATGACTTCAGTGGGCATCCACTCCACCTTGACACGGCTTCTCACTACATATCCCCAATAGTAGCAGACATATTTAAGGATATTTGGAAACATAAAGCTCTTAGAACGTGTAATCATGCTCCTAAGTTATGGTGGAGATATATGGATACCACATTCACCGTATTGAAATCTGAACATATCCCTGAATTTCTTACACATATAAACTCAATAGTAGACACAATCCAATTCACTTCTGAGTTAGAAAACGAACAGGATGAATTGGCCATGCTAGACTGTAGAATAAAACGAAAACAAGATGGTGGGAGGTTGGATACTAGCATTTATATAAAACCGACACAGTCTAATAAATGCTTAGACTAGACTTTAATTCACCCATACAGAATCGGTAAATAGAGGTCTAGCTAAATGTCTGTATAATCGGGCCAAGAACCTAACTAGTAGGCCAGAATATTTAAGTAACGAAATCAAACAAATAAAGGAAATATTACTAACGGATAGCTACCTACCAGAATTTATTCAGAAATAAATGAAGAACCATAGAAAAACTAAGATTAGGAATAAAAATGACGGACATAACATAGAATTCAAAGCCTCTGTAGTACTGCCATATAAGAAAAGAACATCAGAGTCACTACGTAGGATTCTCAATGAAGCTGGAACTAGGGCGGCATTTAAACCAACCAACCAACCAGTCAACTCTCTCAGAGATAAACTTTGTCGGCTTAAGGACCCAATAGACCCCATTAAGAAAACTCAAATCTAATTTATCAAATATCATGTAATGACTGTGAGGTTAATTACATGGGTCAAACTAGTAGATCAGGGTCAACTAGATTATTGCTACATAAAAAATTGACCATGTTAATCACCGAAAATACCCATTGAGTCATGAAGAAAATAAAAGACAGATTCAGCGAAGAAAATTTTCTTTATCGACGAAATCATCTTCAGAGGCTGTACAATCGTATTTATACTTACAAAAAAATATATAGTGGTCTATTATTGAGTAATAGGGGGTGACATAATTGATATAATTACTCAGAAGTGGCTTTAGAAGTGAAAATTAAAAGTTGAAAATTACGTGGTACTCAACGGTAAAAAGATAGAAATTTGATAAGGTTAAAATTGCTATTAAGTGAGAATATAGGTATTTGAGTGTCAATTTAACAAGTGTGAAGAGGGTGTGAAAATATACAAAAGGAGCATATGAGAGTGATAATAGTGAATTAATTATTAAAGTAAAAGCTAACTAAAAGTGAAATTAGAATGAAAAGAAAAAATCAAAATATATTTTATTTACAAAAAACGATCAGTGAAGAGGTTAAGACCAAGGTAGAATAAGAGACTGGACAAACTTTTTCTGTATACAGAGTTCAGGGTTGTATTGATGAATTGCTAGAGCCTCCGCCATGCACAAAAGCCGAAACCTGACGCCCTTTGTACCATTTGACTTCAATTTGTAGATGATCTTGAAAGACGACACTGGTGGAGCTACGTGGCCTGAGTTCACCAAATGCTCGAGAATTGAGCTAGTAATTGTCTTGCACTGTCCCTTTGCTAACCATGCCGGATAATGTTCAGAGATGCGTTTGGAAAGCGTGCGCTTTGTGCGGCCAATACAACTAGCTCCACACGAGCAAGTGAATTACTAGCTTTGAATTATAGGAATCGTGGGGATTTGGTTTTCATTTAATTTCATTTGAAAGCCAGGCAGTACTCGACATGTGTTTCCTCAGTTTTTATCAATACCAGTAATCTCTCTAACTGATAGTGGTTTATGATGTAAGCATGTTATAGTTATAGTTATATAAATATATTCTTGATAATAGCTTGATCCCTCACAGTATTTTTGGTACAAGTATGGAATTTTCAGCATACCAGTAGCCCAAATTTTGTAGGCCGACCATTGATATCACGTTTGCGTCGGCAGGCGATCGAAGTCCCGACCATGCGCATAGTCTGCTAGAGTCCTAACCATTGTGCCACCGACGCACAAGTATTGATAGTACTAATAGGAAAGATGATGAACCTTCATAATATAGTAGTTAGTGCTGTCAGTATACGAAGTTTGTAAACTTATATAAGGTAAAAACTAATTTAAAAATGGAGGCCTTTTCCCGCTTTTTATTTTGTTTAGTTCACGAATTTAGATATTTAGCTTTTCTATGCCGCTACTATTATAAACTGACAACCATCATAAATGATATTCGTTGTATCTCTTATATGATTGTTGTATTTTTATTTTAAGGGGTTACCAGCTACACAAAATCCTGAAGTATTTGGAATGCATGAAAATGTTGATATAACAAGAGAGTTAAGTGAAACACGTATCCTGTTCGATTCAATCTTATTAACTGTTGGTCAGACAGTAACAGAAGGCGGTGGAGTAATCGATTCACGAATAGACGATATAGCCTCTGATATATTGAATAAATTACCAGAAGCATATGATATATCTCAAGCTTATCATAAATATCCTGTCAAATATGAAGAAAGTATGAATACTGTTCTTGTACAAGAAATGGAACGTTTCAATAAGTAAGTTATAATTACCTTGAATTGAATTGAATTGGTGGATGGTGACTAGCAGTGGAATCCACCAGAATGCGCATTTTAGTCCAAGTGGTCTAGTGGATAACGCTTTGGCGTTTGAAACTATGGGCACCGGGTTCGAGCCTCGGTGGGAACATCATCACCCACTGGGGAGTGCAGGTACAACCAGTTGATGAGTCCTAAATAGGACGAAATGCACATGCTGGATTCCACTGCTAGTCACCAACCACCAATTAAATTCTAATTAAATGCCCAGAAATCTTCGAAGCATGTGCACAAGAAGCCGACATGTCAACCTGAGACCAAGCACTTCCGTCCAATCAATCGACGGGAAAATCGAAAATTCAATTATATTTACTTTGGATTCTTATTAACAAAATACTGATTAGATTTCTCGCACTTGGTTCCCTTGATAAATTTCGATAAACAAAGAAAGAAAGACCAGATTTCTAGCAGAAACTGATATCATTCTATTTCACAGATTCTACTCATCAGCTGCAGACCTATACCCAAAATTACAATGGTTATAAAAACGAATGACAATAATATACTTCACTATATGAAAACACGCCCTCGAAGCATAAGCATTACAGTTTCCAGTTTAATCTACCATCAGTTCATAGGCCTTCAAAATAGGAAAGGAGAAGACAGAAAACTGGAAAATCTAATAAATAAGCAGTGTTAGCCTGTAAGCTCCCTTAGCAACTCAAGAAGGTTATAATTCATAAGACTGAAAACTTGCTCAGTGAGCTGAAACCGCTAATATGGATGACAAATCAAGGTAATGAAAATAAAGTTATCAAGGGAGTGAGAGATTCAACACACACTCTTTCTGTATGCATAAATTTGGTTTGAAGTACTTGACTGGAGTCGCTTCAGCAAATCGTAGTAAAGGAAGTCTCGAATAAATGACCCGTATCCATAAGGTGTCTGGTAATTGCACTTTGCAAATATCTACTTCCCTCTAAGCATAAGTTTCTTGGGATATGCAACTACCTGACACTTTGCAGATATAAGTCATTTCGTCGAGATTCCCAAATCCTTCAAAATATTGAACATACAAAGGACAGGAAATTCGCTACGATTTGCTGAAGCAATTCTAATCAAATGCACTGCCTTGGTAACTGTATTTTCATTACATTGATTTGTCATCCCTATATGACTGGTTTCAGCTCACTGAACAAGTTTTCAGTCTTATGAATTATAACCTTTTTGAGTTGCTAAGGGAGCTTACAGGCTAATACTGTTTATTTACTTTAGTTTTTTCTGTTTTCTGTCTTCTCCTCTCCATAGCCTCCTCCCTCCTTTTCAACTCTGAACGCATATAAATTGATCGTAGCTTAAACTAGAAATTATAATGCCTATATTTCGGATGAGTTAATTTTGTAGCGTTCCTTTTCTCTACTACTACCACTCAAACATTGAAGTATGTTAATGTCATTCATTTTTATAACCACTGTAATTTTGGTTATAGGTCTGCAGCTGATGAGTAGAATCTGTGAAGTAGAATTGAATAGCATTCTAAACTGGAAATAGGATCCCTCTTTAATCGAAACTCATTAGATGATTCTTTGTTTTCCTGTTTACTCTATGGAAAATATTCTAAATTATGCCTTTATTATTCGTTAACTGTAATCCACTTAATCCTGTACGTTCATAGAAAGACACTAGGATTCGGAGGACAAAAGAAATTGGATAAGAGAGGTTTTCTTTATATTATTGTTCCCCCCTCCCCCCTAACTGCACACAACAGAAGATATCATACGAATCATTTGCAATCACAATTCTACAAGTTTGCACACAGATTGATATCAGTTAGAGAAGCATTGAAAACCAACCTGGAGTACTGGACAGCTGTCTCGTTCATCCTAGTTCCGGGAATCATCGGCAGTAAGCACCCACTGCCAGGATTCGAACCCAGGACCTTCCGGTCATTTTTTATTCAACAGTGAATATAATCTTGTGATACATTAGTGCATAAATCACTTCATCAGCCATGACAGCATATTTTTTGACTAAACTTCCGTTACACAGTACATTCGGCTAAATAATATATCATTACGAAACATTCAGTCATAAAAGCAGACAAATCAGGCAATATAGCTCTATTCTAAAAGACAGTTGAACGTCATAAATCTGGTCGGCTATGTTTTTTTTCCAGAAACCATTATATAATTATGTATTGAAGATTATCCGATCAAAGACATATTTATATGTGTATTAATAAGGGACATGTGATATATACTTTGCCCTATCATATTTACGTAAACTTTGTTAATTATTTATGCTCAGACGGAATAACAGTGAATGCCTGGGAAAAATCCTGAGACCATTGATGATAGTTTAGGCGTAAATGTTTATCTTTTTCTGTCTCTAATCTCAGGAAAACTGATAGAAATTGTGAGAATCACCTATCATGCTTGATGGGGAATTTTTCCATCTCCAAACCGAATGATTTTATCAATATTTAGAAGGTATCCATTAGGACACTAAAACACAGAAGAGAAAATACTTCAGGGCAGAGTATCGTTTTAGTGGGTTCATCCATATAACTCAACAACGGCAGTCATATGAAATTTATTTTGTTGACATGCACATTGTGTTTATTAAAGTGGTTATTAGGCCGTGGTAACAGGAGTACGAACGACTGAAGACATCAGGTTGAGTACTGTTATAGTTACCTAAAAACCAAGTTAATAGCTCATCGTCATACATAGAATAATTCAAACAATTAGGATACAACAAAGACCCGCTTGTAGTCTCGTTAGCTTAGAATATGCAGATGATATAGTCCTCTTTCCTAGGTGAAGATAGTGACAAAATGCAGAGTCTTCTGAACACCTTGAGCAGCAATCTTCGAATGTTTAGCATGCGATTCGCTTCCGCCAAATGTAAGATGATGAGGCTACAGGACTGGACTACATCGACTACTCCTAGTTTAAAGATAGGGAGTGTCGACCACTTCAGTTATTTGGGGAGTTTCATCAGCTCCAACTGGTTGATCGCTGACGAAATCTCAGCACGGATACAGAATTTGACATATGCCAGTTTACGCCATCTCTGGCGTAGACGTGATATCCGGCTGGCTGTCGACCAAAGGACGTGTGTACTGCTCAGCAGTTCTCTCCGTCCTCCTTTATGGCTGTGAGACATGGTCATTGAAAGTGGAAGATACGAAAAGGCTAGCTGTCTTTGATCATAGGTGCTTGCGTTCTATCTCCCGTGTTAAGCAATATAATAAGCTGAGCAGTATTGAGGTAAGGCATCAGTCGAGTGCTACGTAAGGAGGGGAAGTCAATCGATGAGTTTGTGAAGTTACACCGATTGAGATGGTTAGAACATGTGTTACTCATGCCTAGCCATCGATCGCCTTCCTCGACGGGCAATGTTAGCTGACAAATGATCAGGTTGATAAAGAGCCAGTGGTGGTCAAACCAAAAACATGGCTTCATCTGTCAATGAAATCCACAACAGTTAGTTTAAACCACGTCGGAAGGTGTAGACTGGTCTCCTGGTTGGGGTCCTAGAGATGGTAAAAACCAATGCTGGCTGGAGACAATTGCTGATATGACTCAAAATCGTTGTTAAGAATGGTGTAGATGCATTCACTCTTTGTGATTTATCATATCCAATAAAACTCCATACTATTTCCATATTACCATTCTTTTTGACTCATATTTTTGTTCATTATCTATCTTTTTAATCTTTCTTTATTCTCTCCTCTTGCTTTGTGTTCCACATCCGTGCAAAGGTCTACGTTGAAACCAATCAGTCAGTCAGTCTGTAGGTGAAAACGGTTCTAGTCTAATCCTAATGGAGAGAATAGTATTCGTTGACAAAAATATTATTTGGACTATTAGATAAAAGCAAGTTCTCATAGCTTTCAATGAGGACGGCAGTACAGAATAAATCAAAATTGATACAAGTATAAACCACTAATTGATTGAAATGGGTATTTGTATACCGATCATATCAACCAGTAGCGCTTGCTAGCCTTAGCAACTAACCAGAAATTGAACGTGATTCTTACTGATTCGGCTTTCTAAGCTGAGTAAAACCTGGTACATCACTGATGAGGTAGTCGCCAAACGAGCGAAATGGCCGTCTGGTGTTTGGATCGTCTCGATCTGGGTAGCTGGCATGGACTACTGGTTGATGTATGAGTGGTATGCAACTACTCAAATAAGTCAAACAGTAGTATATAATTTTATGCAAATGTATTTGCTTTCTTGATTACCATTTATGGTAACAAGCAGATCACATATTGTGGTGAATAACTTGCTTTCCAAAGGAAACTACTATGGTGAGATTTCACCACTCGAACTGTGTACATTGCAAAAATCGCTAACTCATTTGCAAACAAGGAAGTCGAACTTCAACTTACTGATGTCTTGTGAAAGATGATCAGCTAGTCAGCAAAGACCATTAAGAACACTCTGAACCTGCGGATTCCATAATACCGTAGTTGTACAATATACCCAAACCAAACATGCCTAGTTTATCGTTTCTCATAATTCACATCGTATTTTCCATCCCTTGTTATCCGATTGAAAAATGGGTATCAGAAATACTGGAGCCTGTAGCTGTGAAGTGGCATGTCACGAAAAGGATTTCCAACAAGATACAGACTTTTATCAGCAGCTGCCACCTTCTCTGGCTCCATAATGAAGGTCAAGTAGTCGGCCAAAAAGAATTAACAACAAGAAAGTCTGGCGAGAAACTAACCAAGAGCCGATTGCTCAACAAATATGTAGGAGAAAATGGAGATGGACTGGGCACACGTAGGGAGGCCGTCGACGAAGAGTGGGTCGTCCTAGGGTGACATGGAGGAGATCGTGCCAGGAGGAGGTGAGAGATTATGGGCAATCGTGGACCCAGATGAAGAGGATGGCAGAAAACAGAATAAAGTGGAGATATTTTGTTGAAGTCCTATGTTCCATTCGGAACCCAAGGGAGTAATAATAATAGTACTTGTGAAGTGTGTT